GGCCAGTATATGTGGGCTTAATGTACACCTTAGTCTGGAAGCATGCTATAACTCTCCCTCTCCATGGTAAACTTAGAGGAATGGTACTGGTTTCACGAGGAAATTGACTGCTGATATAACATCAGCAGTCAATTTCATCATCAGCTAAGTTGATGAATAAAGTTGACGTTTCGAGCGTTGGTCATAATTCGTTTTCATTCTGACGAAGGGCTAACGCTCGAAACGCCGCATTAGAAACTCTTTACAGTAGGAAACTAAATTTACACTATCAACTCAATTGATAAAGCCGATATTTTAATACACTCTGCCGACGAAGTACCACAGTTTCTTTAAAAAAATACCCCGTTAATTCGTAAATGTAGGCTCAATGAGTCAGATGCTTTTGCAACGTTGACATTCGTTCATCAGTCATTGCTGAATAAAAGCGTCTTACCAGAGTAATACAATCCAAGGCATTAAAATGTTGTCGATGACACAAGTTTACTACGAATATCGTTTTGAGGAGTGGAGAAGATGAAAAAATATATATTTTTATTTTGTACTCTAAAAATTACTTGATTTGTGTTTGGGAAAGCGAAAAAGAAAACGAAGTTATCCTTCATTTAGTGATTTTACGGGGGTACAAAAAGTGTCTTTGAGATATTTATCATGGAGATTGTCAAATGAGGAGAGTAAGCTGCATTGAAGATGACCTGCGCAAAGCCACCCTTAGAATCATCTAGAGGATTATTTAAAGCAGCATTTGAATTGAAATATGAAGTTTTTGTTGTCTTCTCTAGGACCTCTTCAATATCGATTTTACTCTTTGCTCTACTGTTGTTTATTAGCTCCAAAATGTTCGCCGATAGGTTTTTATTCAAGCAAAGAAATATCCATCGTTGCGCTATTTGTATCTTTAACTGCATCAATATTTCTGCTTTCTACATCGTTCAGATTCTTCTTTTTTCCTGATATTTCAGTTTTTCCTGTCCCTCAATTTCCCCGCTTTCTAATGACTTTTCAGAATTTTACCCTAGAGTGTCCATGTGTTTTCCACATGCATCGCAGCTTTAATGAAAATTTGCACGCAGGCTACGGAACCTCGCTACATGATGAATCCTAATGTCCATGTCACCTCCTAGAACTTCCTGATAATCTCAAAAAAGAGAAAAAAAAATAGTCACATAAAAATAAGTAAAGAAATAAAAACCAAAAAAAAAAAAAATGTTGATGAAAGGATAAATTGATGAAATATAAAGACGATGATCTGGAATTTCTATATCATGAAACTAACGCGTATCGAGAATTCTATTAAATAATTCGTCAGTTGATTTCGGAACTCTCATGTTAAATACGCATGAGAACCTTAACGAACGCTTAACACTTTACACCCTTGCATCATAATGAATATTCTCCATACTTTTCCGTATATATTTCCACTGTTGCTGATAAGGAGACTGTTTGACAAACAAAGCTTCCTGGCTTGATGATCATTTCCTATATTCTCATGATCTTGATATATAAAGAATTTAGTAGTATTATTGTAAGGAGAAATCAGATGCTAGTCACTCTTAGAGGTTGAAGGATTAAGGAAGGTTTATGAATTTTGGCTGAGGGGGTTTTCAAGTCTCGTACCCAGACCTTCAATGACCAATCGGTTTTAACCTTCAGATATACGATATGATCTGGGTAAGAGATTAGGAGTTCCCAAACACGGGATTTTTTTGTTACACTGGAGTTTGAATAAGCTAAGAACCATTTCAATATATATGAATCTTTGGTATTTCCATTTGAGTAGTAACTTACCCTCTGCTGTAGAAGAATTTAAGACAAGACATGAAGTTGAAGGAAGAGGTGGGCTGAAGGCGGTGCCACCGGATCCTCCTCCTGTATACGGTGGTATTTTGAAGCCCGTCTGGTTACGTGATGCAGCACAGGGACAGAAAGGGGAGAAGTGTTCCCTGACGGTTTTAATGGGGTAACTGTTGGCTGTAAAACGGCCAAAAATTTAGCCGTAAGCTGCAAGAGAAAAGTTAAACGTGGAAAAGAAATTGTGGTGAACACAATGAAAAAATTTTAACTGATAGCCGTAAATTGGAAGAAATTTGAACTGTGAGCCGTAAAAGCCATCACTCCATTAAAGACCATCTTTCGTTAACAGAGTTCAACCCCTTAACTTCCGGATCAAATTTGTAATTCTCCTAACTGTCAACCTGTGGTATTAATAAGGAGAATTTGTTTAAAATCACGAGCTTTACTAGTTTGTGATCATTTCCTTAATTCTCATGACGTTTGTGCTTCATTCAATAGTGATTCTGTAAGGAGAAATTAGATGCTAGTCACTCTCAGAGATTGGAGGTTGATCTCATCGCCAAGTACGAAATGTTTTTATATATATATTATTTTTTCCTCCCACAGGTAAGTGTAAATCAAAAGCTGAGAATGAATTTATATCATCTTTCTTTGTGTGACCTATTTGGGATTTTTTTTGAAACCGCATTATAGTTTAAATCTCGGGTTTTTCTTTTATATGATCAGACCGGGATATCGTTCTTATCAATAAATGTAATATAACAGAATGTCTTGCTAGTATGCTACGCGAATTCATTGAATATCGGTAAGCAAGCACGCAAATGTATCTTGCGTAAAAGTGAACAACTAAAACTCTTTAAAAAAGCGCGTTTTCCTTAACATCTGGAATCCGGGAATTTCTCGCTGTAAACATCTGCTGAAAGAAAACCTTGTCGAAGACACTTCCGAAAAAAACTTACTCTAGTGGTTAAACAGAGTGGTACATTTTAAATTGCAACTCAAAACATTTTTTATGAAAGCCATAATCGTTCACTGCGGGAACAATTAGAATGAGGGAAGAAAATGAAAAAAAACAAAACAAAACAAAACAAAACAAACAAACAAGCAAACAAACAAAAAAACTTCTGCAATAATAATAAGATGAATTGGCATGAGTATCTCACAATGGATCGAAAACCGAAAAAAGTTAATTGACACTAAAAATGTTTTAGTAATGAAATACCACACCTTGAGACAGGGGGGAGAGGGAGTCGTTGGCGTTGCCCTATGATGAATTTTCATCTGTTATTCCTTTTTAATCAGCTATTTTAGCTAAGTTTTCCTCTCTTTCGCACAGGAAAGAGCTAGGGTGAATTTTTACAGTGTCCCAATCTTTCATTGTCTTTAAAGGAAAGAATACGTTAGAACGGACACGCAATCAAACAATATATTGGAGAACTTTTTTTTATTGATAGCTTGACACTAAATTTCTAGTACCACTTAAAGTGCAGCAACAGCTTTAATTTACTACCTAAACCAACTGAGGTGTATTCACCTTAAAGGATTTCAAAACAATCAAAGTACAATACTACAAATTTATTTTAAAATTCGTTATATGCATTAAGTGGATCCAAGAGCAATCATTTCCCCCGGTATTTGCTCTAGGCGGGGTAGAGCAGGTGGGAAGGTGGTGGTGGTGGGGGGGGGGGGGGGGGGGGGGGGGGGGCAAAGATGTTGTAAGCCCTCCCCTCTCTCTCGCTCGGGTCTACGCCGGATATCTCTGTTTATGGAGGTTTTGCTTTTACGAGGGGTCTTTTAACTTATATACACAAGGCTTATTTGTAGTTGTAAATACAAGAAATGAATGTAAATATTGTCAAACTTCTGATCAAAATGTTTTCAACTCTCTAACTCAAAAAATTAATCTCCCATTTCAACGGCCTACCGCTGACTCCTTAGCTCTATCTGTCGTATGTCTGTTAACTGTGCGAGTCCTTGATATTTCTGATAAAAAAAAAAACAACAACAACAACAACAAAATCCAGAGGAAAAACAAACTAGATCGTACAAAAACAATCAAAAAATGATTTAACAAAAAAATGTCGTAACGTTGGTCAAAAGTTGTGAAAAGTCAATCTAATGCTTTTCTAGTCAACGGCAGGAAGTTTTTACCATAGATGTTCTAACTATAACAATTTAATATATATATAAAGCAATACGTGATTTTAATTTACTTTGCAGTTCAATTATTAATCGAAACCTAGGTCCATGTTAACAGTTAACGTAATAAAAAGAGACCTCTTTTCGGATGATAAGGCTTATTTCCTTGAATAACGTTCTTTCCATATCCATTGTTAAATATCTCAGTTTTTTCATACATTTTTAAATGCTGAGCCGCACCTCTAAGAGCTTTCAAATTCCGAATTCTGTTCGCAAATTATCAAATGAAATACATGAATTAATGGCATTTCGATAAATGTATGGTATTTCGCAGTGGATCGAGAACTTCGACATTAGTTCCTGGGTGGATCTACATTCGGCGATAAGGTTAGTTTACACATAACATTCACGTAGTCGCTTTTAAGGATGTGTTATAAAATAATTTTTATAAAAATTTACAGGATTTACTACAACACCCCGTCACCCACTCAACTTTGTAAAAAACAAGTGCAAAATCTTACAGCATTAAAGTCGGTGAAATGCAGTTTGCTACAATTCCCCAATTCACCAACTCAACGCTTTGCCATCACAGACAGAAAAAAAAAATGCAATTTTGTGCGGTGGAAGAGTATAGGTAAAATGCTATTTCAGAATAAAACTGGTCTGCTGTTTCAGAATTAATCTTCAACCGAAATGCGCCAACAACTTTGTCGCTAATTATAATGTAGAATAACAAAAGTTGTTGTTTTTTTTCCCTCAGAATTCTTAGTCTAATCATTATGAATATTCAAGTCTCATAACATTATCTAACTTGTTGTCATATCTAATCTCTATTAACCCTTTGACTCCCATGAGTGACCAAGACAGAATTTCTCCTTACTATATCCATACAATATCAACCAGATAAGTGGTGAGAATAAAGAAAAATAGAAACTGTGGGATTACTAATTGATCTGATACCAAATTCTCCAAGCTAACATAATAAGAATCATTTGGCAGACAGTTAGGAGAATTACTATTGAGATTTTGGAGTTAAAGGGTTAAAATCACCAATGCATCGGTTGTTTTTTCTACAGTAATGTGATGGTTACCTGACCATGACCAGCCTTGTTGTAACAACATTCATTCTGCTGATTGTTTCCAACATTGTAGGATCCACCACCACCCCCACAGGTATTCTTAGCAAAATCTCCACTGCTTCCCCCAGAGTATCCTCCTCCTCCTCCGCCTCCCCCAAATCCCTCAGCCCCACCTCCTCCGCCAAATCCACCATCGACGTCGTAATACCGTGATCTCCCACCCACCCCTCCCTGAAGAAATCCCTTACCACCCTCTCCCCCATCTCCCTCGGTCCCATTGAAATTGATTCCACTTCTTCCACTGGAGTAAAACCCGCCACCACCACCACCTGAAATCTCATGAGAATGACTGAATTAGAAAATTTTTGATGAGGATATTGTGAGAATATGACAGAATAGATATTTCGTACGAAATTTTTAAATTTTTATTGCCAAAATGCTGAAATGCTAAAGATTATTGAAAAATATTCTTACCTGATGAAATAGAATAAGCGCTAGCAGTCTGTGCACCATGTCCATTGATTCCCCCTGACCATGATCTGTACCCAGGATTCCCAGTCGTGTTTGTGCTTGCGTCGCACCCTGCATGTCTAGACTTTGCAGAATCTATCCCTCCTCCGCCTCCAGCTATTATCAAAGGTGTGTCGGCTCCTCTCACAACAAATGTACCTCCACCACCGCCAGAGGATTCGTCCATCTTGTTTATTCCTCCCTCTTGACCTACAATTATCTGAATAACTTCACCCTTGTTTAAGTGAAAAGTTCCAATCATTCTTGCTCCTCTTCCTCGGTAGCGCGAGCTGTTGGTAGTTACATCGTACCCTCCTGCTGCTCCTATTGCTTCTATTCTGTAATCACCAGTGTGCGGCACAGTCCACTGTTGAATACCGCTGGACAGAGCAACTTGTTCGTCATGATCCTGACTTGCGTAGTAACTTCCGAGCGATGTTGGACCATATCTTCCAGTAGCATTGAGATTTGAGAACACGGCTTTGAATGCTGAGAGGAAAATGTAAAATCAACATCCACTAAGTTGTAATTTCAACTTTATCTCGAATATTTATGTTTCGTCTGGCAGCTGGTATTATGATCAGTTCAAACGGTTGAGAGAAGAAATAAGTAACATTAAGCACCTTAAGGGCATTTCACATCTTAAGTTTTCTTAGGTAAAGACATTCGGAGGAAGATATAGGGCACGCGTTATTCATCACAGGGGGGTCTTCTTGTGACGAATGTAATTTCTGAGCACTGATCATTATGGGTTTTTTCGGGTGAATTTGCTGTGGAAACATTTCAAAAAATGAACCACTTTAGCGCAATCTGTGAAAAACTTGTCTTATTTAGTTCGTGGTCATTGCCACGATTGAATCCAAAGCTCATTAAATGTAATCCGTCCGACCTCGATTTCGTAGATTTCAGGTTGTTTCAGTGTTCATTTGGTAGAGGGAAGGTGTGCTTGCGTAGGATTAGTATTTCCCATTGTCACAATTTACATCGAATGATAAAGTACCTGTCTGAACTGGTATGATTGAGGTAAGTATTCGTTTTAAACGCACATTTTATTAGAGTTTATCTCCGGCGCCGTTTCAAGTGGATCACGCAAATCGTTATCAGTTAAACCACTGGAAAACCTTTCTGTAAAAAAAAAATCATACAATATTTCTCATACTTACTGCAACTGAGTCCGGGTTTGCATTTGCATGTGTAAGAGCCGTCTGTGTTATTGCAACTTGCATTATAGTGACAGCCATGGATGTGGCTGGTACACTCGTCCACATCTAAAAAGTTTGAATGTAAACAAGAAAAGGACAGGAACACCAAATAAAGAGAAATCCTAGGAACAAATTGCACTGAATAAAAAACTTACATTGTCTAAGAAATTTTCCGGCTCGGACGCGATTCGAACCCACTGCCCCTAGTTACTAGTTGGTCACTGGCTATAATTGAAATACGAGGTGTAATCCACGACAACGGGGAATTTATAAGTTAATAAAAACTTATGAACGAAATTACATCATTTTTTTCACCAAACTCGACCGTGATGCACATCAGCAATTACTGTTTTGATCTCCAGATAAATCACTCTCGACGAAATTGAAAAGAGACCAAAAGAGGTGTCATTCGACCGTCTTCTCCCTACGTTTGAGGACCAGTGATAATAATAGTCGAAAACTTTTCCCCATCTTATGTGTTTAATACTTGGAATTGATCCAAAGTCGGCTGATGATAACCGCCAATGGTTAGATCATTTTGTAGAGCGCCGGAAGGTTGAGAGTTCAAGCCCCGAAGCGGACTAATAATCATGATCACGGTCTTAAAATCACTGAGGAAAATGTGCTACCTTTGCTAAGACATCTGGAAATGGTTAGAAAATTTTGTCTTCTCGGATGAGGTCAAAAAAACCGTAGGCTTCTTCTCCTACATCTTATCTGTACTCGTTTACGGTGGACGTTAAATAATTCATACATTTATCGCAGAAAGTAGGGGACATAGCTGGCCTTAATTCTTATAATGGGGGCATCTGAAAAACTTTTCTGCAAGAATTGTAAACTGTTCAATGCAGTCTGGCCAGAGTCCCAAGCAAAACTCTGTAAAGCGCCATGAGCCATTGGCTATGATATAGAAATATTTTATAATTATTAGTATGTCTCTATATGAACATCTATGAATCTCACCTGTGCAATTCCGACCGTTCCCTTGATAACCTTTTATACAGTTGCACGTAAATGATCCCTCGGTATTATTACAAACAGCTTTGGCATGACAGTCGTGAGTGTTGTCAATACACTCGTTTTTATCTGAACAAAGAACACAATGAAGACTGATATGAGCTTATACGCAAGCTGGATCAAGAACCTTCACAACCTTAAAAAGAATATTAGTGAGACCTTTTTCACAGTTTTCTCCCGTGTAATTATGTGGACACAGGCAAATATATCTCTTGTCGGTATATCCATTAAGACAGGTGGAATCATGGAGGCAGGGATTACTGGAGCACGAATTCTGATAGGATAGAAAAACGCCTGTTAGCAACTATACTTGATGAAAAATATCCAAGCTGATTTTAGACGATTGTATTGTAATTTAAAATAAAATCCTACCTCAGAGGCCCAGAGAATAAAACCTTTTCGTATTTCTTTATCTTCACGATGTTGGGTGTGGTCAAAAGTACTCAGTTGGCAGAGCCTGAAGCCTGTCTTGTTTGGTGGGCCGATGTTTACAGACAAACATTTGCTTTCCATGAGGCACTCGTATCTACAGTCATGAGTCGTTAGCTCTGTCCCCATTGGCAAGAAAATTTCTTTAAATACGTAACGTTGAGGAGCACATTCTCCTTCCGATTTCTTAAACCTAAGACTTCGGCAGCCAAAATCTGGAATTGGATTCATAAGGGAAAATGTCATCAGAATTTCAGCTGGAGAAATGTCCTGCCTTTTTAACAGTTATAAACCTGTTTGAAAACTGTGGTTGGATTTTTCGCCTTACAATACACGAAAATTTGTTCAGCCTGAGTAATAAAACTGTATGTTATTTTAGTTAAAGGAATTCAAAGAAACCTCCTGTTTTGGCGTTGACGAGCAAACAGCGAAAATGCATGACCTTGAATGACGTAAGTTTTTCTTTTTTCTCCCGCACCTTTTATACTGAGGTGAACTCTTTTGAGTTTCCTTATTGGCAGAACCGCACAAAAAAATGCTATTTCGTATCATAACTAAGCCAAAAAGGAGATCATCTGATGCTTGTCTTCGTCAATGCTAATGCCTAGCTCCTACTTAAATTGGCGACTAAAAACTCTCCCTCGTTGCAAATCGTTCTTCCTCTTAAATTTCTTTTACGTACATCATCTTTTAGTCTCAAGAATTATCGTGCTGAAAAACTGATAGCGTCGTAATATGTAGGGCATTGCATCACGAAGGTTTTCTTAAGTAAGGGGAATCAGCCAATGCATTTTGCACGCTGCAGCTGGAGAGCGACTAACAGTGAAATATATGTGCTACGCGTGTAAGAAAAAACTGACTAGAAGATAGTTTTTGCCCTTCCGTCGATTTCTAGCCGAGAGCTTACAGCCGAAAATTTCCCTTCATTTTTTAAATTTTCATTACTTAAAAACGTATTTATCATTGAAATAACGTCAACGATGTTTAACCTTATTCCAGCTTAGGTGCCAAAGTGAGACAGCATTTAATTACAAGCTGCGCCAAAAGTTATTATTACAAAGTGCTACAGAACACGTATGTACTTCATCTGTATCCAAAATAGTATTTATTAAAAAACAAAACTCTCTAACTCTCTAATTTTGAACCTATAAGAAAAAAAAAGGCTAGTTTATTCCGTTATATTTACATCAATTTTTTTTTTAAAATATGTTCATCAAGATCTAGAAAACTATAGGGTTTTTTTTTTAGTTAAGGCTCTAAAACACCTGTCATGGCTTTGTCGAACAAAAAACTAATATACATATCCCTGAATAGAGTAAGTTTGTTCATATTCTCTTGTAAGGCATAACCTTCAGGGCAGAGATTATATTTTTTGAATTTCCTAAAATGTCTTTTATATGTAACCAAGCCAAAAGGGCTGGCATGTCTTTGTTCCTGTGATCTCCAGTGCGCGTGGCTCCTACTTGGGTGGCCGACTAAAACCTTCCCTTCTTTTCAAATCTTTCTTCCTCTCAAGTTTACAATTTGGCCGAAAATTTACAGCCCATTTTCGTTTATTTTTTTAACCGGAAAATTGCATAGATTGGCAGGATTTTCTTGTCATTTTTAACTTAAAAATCGACCACAATTTTCTGTTCCTTAAAAAACTTATGGATCATAAACATTACGTCGACAATGTTTAACCTTATGCCAGCTTAGGTGCCAAAGTGGTACAGCACTTGATTTCAAGTTGCGATAAAATCCGACAGGTATTACAAAGTGGGACGATTATTACAAAGTGCTACCGAACACGTATGCACTCCATCTGTTTCCAAAATAGTAGTTTTTGTAAAACACAACTCTTTAAGCAATTTTGAACCTATAGGAAAACCAAGGTTGGTTTATTCCTTTCTATACATCATTTTTTTTAAAAATCTATTTTTGAAGATGTAGAAAATTGTTGGGTTTTTTTTTAGTTAAATCTCTAAATCACCTGTTATGGCGTTGTTGAACAAACAAACAAAATACATCGCCCTGAATAGAGTAAGTTTGTCCTTATTCTCTTGTAAGGTATAACCTTCAAGACAGAAATTATATTTTTTGAATTTCCTAATGTGTCTTTTAAATGTAACCAAGCCAAATGGAGATTATTTGGCGTGTTTTTGTTGCTGTGATCTCTGATGCGGGGATGTGTGATCATGACTTTTTTCTTAAATGAAGAGCCAATTGAAAGGCATGCTCTAAAAAAATAAAGTTGAGATCATAATTTTTGAAACTTACTCTAGCTTTTTTATTTTATTTTTTTCAAGTAATAATTTCTGTTAGGCGCACCCATGGCAATTTGAAACTCTTAGGAAGTACTTTATTATCACTTCAAAAAATGGGTTAGTCAATGCTTCACGTTGCTACAGGTAATATATGTTATAGCTTTCTGAAGCTAGCAAAGCGCTTCAAAGCTGATATCAAATGAAATTCAGTCGTGATGACAAAGAGGGAAAAAGGAAAATTTTACCCCGAAACGGTTGCGCGTGCAAGTTTGTTTAACTAAAGACACATAGAGCTTATCAGGTATTTTTGCGTAAATTAAAGTTCAGCTTGGTAACTTTTACTGATACTTTAAGTTAGAAGTCAGTAAAAAAAAGATTTAATTTGAAAAAAATGCAGAAATTGCTCTTCACAAGTGTTACATTTCTACCTTATTTCGAAGAAATAACGGACTGGAATTCTAAACACAAGACGGATGAGCATAGAAAAACAGTGAAATATCAAAGAATTACCCTCGTTTCCATCCGCAGGAAAGTGAAGCCATCCTTCCCACAGAACTGCAATGGAGAGGAAAGATAGAGATAGTTTCATGGGAATCTTCATCCTTGAAGAAAATTTGTGTACATGTACATGTACATGTCTATCGTTTACAGTGAAGCAGGTACACTCTATCGTCAAGCTTAAATGCTATTGGGCATGACGAGCTTTGCGTCACAAAAAAATGTTTATGTAAATTAGCTGGTGACATATTGAATGTCTTCAATTTTTTTTTTCTATTCACGTGGATTCAGTAATACTTGTATTTGCCGCGTTAGGCCAAAATAAGCTATTACAGTAGCAAATGGATGGAAAGCGTCACAATGTTAAAGAGAAATTTATACCAGATTAATACAACTATGCTATTATATTCCTGCAAATTAAGTGAATTTATTATTGCAGTTATCTAGCATTGAGCATTTCATCGCCGAGATGTGAATTCTAAACAAATGAAGCTAACCATCCACAGCTGCTTAACTCTGAGCAAGCAAATTATCAAATTAAGCCGACCAGAAAACGCGATAAATTTGCATAAACGAAGACTTCCTAAAAATAACAATTCACGCTTCGCGGATGGAAAGTATTTGAAACAATTGTATTAAGGATGATGAAACATGCATATGACTGAGATCATATTTCGGGAAATGGAACTAATATTCAGAATGTTGATGTGTTTTGTCGGAGATTGTAATGTTAGATATTTGCTAAATCATGTGAGACAAAACTTCAGATCCGAGCACGGAAACGTATCTGATGTCAAAGTAAATTTTAGCGATGCGTCAGAAACACAATAAACGGACAACAGCATGTCACACATTTATGCCTTCTTGTATACTAAAGAACTGAACCGAGAGACAAGAGTGCCCGGCAGGGCGACCAGCAATATTTTTTTTCAGTTGCCCGAATCCAAAAGTTAGTTGCCTCTAGCGACCGGACACCGTTAGACCACAGACCTAGAGTATAGGAGAGATAAAAAACAACCCTCAGGTGTGCGTTACCTAAGAGGGTATGGAAAAGATTAAAATTAACCCTCAGGTATACACTACCCAAGAGGGTATAGAAGAGATAAAAAACAAACCTCAGGTATGCGCTACCCAAGAGGGTATAGAAGCGATTAAAAATAACCCTCAGGTATACACTTCCCAGAGGGTATAGAAGAGATTGAAAGTAACCCTCAGGTATACACTTCCCAGAGTGTATAAAAGAGATTAAAAATAACCCTCAGGTATAGAATTCCCAAGAGGGTATAGAAGAGATTAAAAATAACTCTCAGGTATACACTACCCAAGAGGGTACAGAAGAGATTAAAAATAACCCTCAGGTATACATCACCCAAAGCACTGCAGTTTCTTTAGAAAAATACCCCGTTAATTCGTAAATGTAGGCTCATTAACTCAAATCGTTTTGTAACGTCGACATTCGTTTATCTTCCATTGCTGAATAAAAGCATCTTACCAGAGCAATATACTCCCATGTATTAAAATGTTGTTGATGACACAAGTTTATTTCGAATATCGTTTTAAGGAGTGGTTAAAATAAAAAAATAAAAAAAACCATTTATTTTATGTAACCTAAAAATTACTTGATTTGTGTTTAGGCAAGCAAAAAAAGAAAACGAAATTATCTTCAGTATAGGTTTTGATTCTGGCAAAGAAGTGTCCACTGTTGTGCTATTTGTATCTTTAACTGCATCGATATTTCCACTTTCGACATCGTTCATGAACCTTTTTTCTTCGTGATCTTTCAATTTATCTTGTGCCTCAGGACAAGTCCCTGTCCACCGCTTTCCCTAAAGCTTCCAAGTGTTTGCCTTCAGGAAAGTTGACACGAAGTTCTTCAGAAGCGGTTAAAACGTAATAATGGAGAAGAACATAGATACTCCTAAAAGCACCACTGTGGCACGAAGCGGTTCCATTATGATGTTTCCAATATCAGAGGGAGCTTGTTCTAAAGAGAAAAATATTTTAATAAGATTACTATTGATAATATTTTAGTTGTGAGTGGAATTGGAATATATGCATGGCACGCGCATATTTTTTAGAAGCACGGTTCAAAGGCAGCGGTGCTCTGATGAACGCAAAAACAGGAAAATAAAGAGGAGAAGGATGTGATCAAGTAAACCTTGATATGTTCTGTAACGTTCAAGAGATTACCAGATGAAGTTTGACAACTATCAAAAGCAGCTTAGTTGTTAGGCAAGATTCAAAATGACCGCGTTTATAGTTAAAAATGTTAAACACACTTATCATATAAACTGCGGTTTTCTACGAGAATTTTGAGCCCTGAGAAAAGCTGTAACAACACACGTGAAAAAATTGCGGTATCTTTCTTGGACGTGTATGAGATCGTCAATCTTATTTTTTTCTTGGACAGTTGTTTGTTTTACAGAAGTGTGATGGTCACTCGACCATGAACAGCCGTGTTGTAACAACATTCATTCTCCTGACTGTTTCTAACGTTGTAGGGCCTCCCTCACCCCTTAGGAGTCATAAATACCATCTCCACTGCTTCTCCCAGAGTATCCTCCTCCTCCACCTCCAGGACACTTTCTTCCCGCCCCACCACCTCCTCCAAACCCACAATGGCTAACCCGAATTCTAGATCTTCCACCACCCCTCTCTGAGGAAATCCCTTACCACCTTCTCCACCATTTCCCTCTTCCCCATCAAAATTGTTTGTACTTCTTCCTCTGGAGTAGAACCCGCCACTAACCCCCTGAGAAATAGTGATATACCGCCCACGGTAAGCCCATTAGCCTATGTTGTAATGTTGATGGAGAGTTCTTGGTGTAATCACATGGCTCTCGGGGGTGGGGGGGGGGGTGGGGGATTATTCCTTGCCAATAGTGTATACAGGTGGGACTTTAGAAAAATGATTGTCAATGAGGGGGGAGGAGGGAGGAAGGCTTATAAGAATTTTACAGAGCCTCAGGAGAGGGATCAAGGAAAATTTAATCGTCACAAGCGATATCCTCGGACCTTCCCCCACCCCTTAGGCGATAAGCAACAGCCAGTCGTTCATTGGTGTTTTGAAGACCCAGAATGTTTACTAAGTTTACAGAGTTAATGACACTCGGCGAAAAGGAATTGATGTTTTCATATGATGAGGAAACCAGCCCATATAGGAATATAAAACCGAAACGAAAAAAAAAGCAAAAATAAAAATAAAAGCAAGAAAATTCTTGCTTAAACTTGCTCAAGGTCAATAAAGCACCTAACATGCATACCGGTATCACCAAAACCAAATCATTTCCCGCGGGACGATGCGGGATATATCGCCGGGGTGAGTAAGGTAGATCCATGACCAATCTGAACGCAGATTTCGTTTCATCTTTCCTGCCTGCAGATCAAATAATATGACGAGAACTGACCGAAGGTCACTTTCGCAACACCCGCCGGTTGTTGACGTTAAGGTCGAGAAATTTTCTCATCGGTTCAAATGAAAATCAACTCTCCCAACCGTTACTGAGAAATTTTATTTGAGACAGTAATGAGGAACTCTTATTTCATCCAAAAGTGCTTTGTAGTGGCATACCACACCTTGAGATCTGGGGAAGAAGGAGTCGTTGGCGTTGCCCCTATGATTAGTTTTCATATGTCATTTCTTTTTAATAAGCTATTTTAACTAACTTTCTCTCTGTTTCGAACAGGAAGAAGCTAGGGTAACTTTGTATAATGTTTCAATCTTTCAATGTCTTTAAAAGAAAGAATAAGCTGGAACGGACGCGCAATCAACCAATACTCTGAAGAACTTTTTTATTGATAGCTTGACACTAAATTTCTAGTAACACTTAAAATGCAGCAACAGTTTTAATTTACCACCAAAACTAACTGAAATTTATTCACCTTAAAGGCTTTTAAAACAATCAAAGTGCAATATTTCCACTAATATAATGTGAATTACGTCATATGCATTGTGTGGATCCAAGAGAGATCATCTTCCTGAGTATTTGCATTAGGCGGGGTAGAGAAGGGGAGGGAGAGGAGAAGATTTTCCTCTTTTTGTAAGAAGAGCCTCTTACACAGATTGAGCCATTTGAGGTCACGTGAAAAGATATTGCAAGCCGTTCTCTCTCTCTCTCTCGCTTGGGTCCACTCCGGATATCACTTTGTTCGTGGAGTTTTTGCTTTTACGAGAGGTTTTCTATTTTTATGTATTATCCTTTATGAATGGAATCAGTAACCGCACTATGGAATCAGTAACCTATGTTCACAAACCTTATTCCAGTTGTAAATACAAGAAATGAATGTAAATATTGTCAAACTTCTAATCAAAATGTTTTCAACTCTGTAACTCAAAAAATGAATTTTATATTTCAACGGCCTACCGCTGACTCCTTAGCTCTATCTTCCATACGTCTGTTGACTATGTAAGCCTTCGGTATTTCTGATATAAGAAACAACAACAACAAAAAAAAACAAGAAGGAAAAAATAAACTGGATCGAGCGAAAACAATAACAAAAAAATGATTTAACAAATAAACGTCGTAACGATGGTCAAAAGCTGTAAAAAGTCAATCTAATGCTTTCCTGGTCAATGGCAGGAAGATCTTACCATAGATGTTCTAACTATAACAATTAAATATATGTATAAGGCGACACGTGATTTTAATTGACTTTTCTGTTCAATTATTCATCGAAATCTAGGGTTAAATACAGTTAACTTAATAAAAAGAGACCTCTTTTCAGATGGTAAAGCCTATCTTCTTAAATAATATTCTTTTCATATCCATTGTTAAATATCTCAGTATTTGCATACATTTTAAAATGCTCTAGGAGCTTTTAAATTCCGAATTCTGATAGTAAATAATCAAACGGAATACATGATTCAATGGCATTTGGATGAATACATGGTATTTTACAATGGATCAAGAACTACGAGATTGGCTCCTGAGTGGATCTACATTCGGCGATAAGGTTAGTTGACACATAACATTCACGTAATCGCTTTTAAGGATGTTTTATTAAATACTTTTTTAATGTACAGGGTTTACTACAACACCCCGTCACCCACTCAATTTTATAAAAAAAAAAAGTGCAAAATCTTACAGCACTAAAGTCAATGAAATGCCGTTTTTCCATCACAGACAGAAGAAAAAAAATGCAATGTTGTGCTGTGGACGAGTGGGTGAAATGCTATGAGGAATAAAACTGGTCTACTATTCCAGAATTGATCTTCAACCGTAATGTGTCAACAACTTTGTCGCTAATTGTAATGTAGAATAACATGAGCTGTTTTTCCCCTCAAGATTCTTAGTCTAATCATTATGAATATTCAAGCTCCATAACATTATCTAACTTGTTGTCATATCTAATCTCTATTAACCCTTTAACTCCCATGAGTGACCAAGACAGAATTTCTCCTTACTATATCCATACAATATCATGCAGACAAGTGATGAGAATAAAGACAAATATAAATTGTGGGATTACTAATTGATCTGATACCAAATTCTCCAAGCTAACATAATGAGAATCATTTGGCAGACAGTAAGGAGAATTACTAATGAGATCTTGAGATTTAAAGGGTTAAAATCACCTATGCATTGGATGGCAAGTGGTTCGGTTGTTTTCTCTACAGTAGTGTGATGGTCACCTGACCATGGCCAGCCTTGTTGTAACAACATTCATTCTGCTGATTGTTTCCAACATTGTAGGATCCACCACCACCCCCACAGGCATCCAGAGTATCATTTCCACTGCCTCCCCCAGAGTATCCTCCTCCTCCTCCTCCTCCTCTGCTCAATCCCCAAGCTCCACCTCCTCCGCCAAACCCACCATAGACGTCGAAATCCTCTGATCTCCCACCCACCCCTCCCTGCAGAAATCCCTTACCACCCTCGCCACCATATCCCTCGGTCCCATTGAAATTCTTTCCACTTCTTCCACTGGAGTAAAACCCGCCACCACCACCACCTGAAATATCATGATATTAATTAATTAGAAAACTTTTAATGGGGATATCGTGAGATTATGGCAGAATAAACATTTCGTACGAAATTTTTAAATTACTACCAAAATGCTGAAATGCTAAAGATTATTGAAAAATATTCTTACCTGATAATCCAGAATCAGCAGTCTGTGCACCATGTCCATTGCTCCCCCCTGCCCATGATCTGTACCCAGGATTCCCTGACGTGTTTGTGCTGGCGTCACATTCTGTATGTCTTGAACGTACAAGTGCTACCCCTCCTCCGCCTCCAGCTATTATCAAAGGTGTGTTGGCTCCTCTCACTACAAATGTACCTCCACCACCTCCAGAAGAATAATCCATCTTGTTTATTCCTCCTTCTTGACCTACAAGTACCTGGATGACTTCACCCTTGTTTAAGCGGAATGTTCCAATCATTCTTGCTCCTCTTCCGCGATACTGAGAGCTGTTAATCCGTTTATCGTACCCTCCAGCTGCCCCTATTGCTTCTATTCTGTAATCACCAGTGTACGGCACAGTCCACTGTTGAATACCGCTGGACAGAGCAACTTGTCCGTCATGATCCTGACCTGCGTAGTAACTTCCGAGCGATGTTGGACCACATCTTCCAGTGGCATTGAGATTTGAGAACACGGCTTTGAATGCTGAGAGGAAAATGTAAAATTGACATCCATTTTTTTATTAAGTTGTAATTTCATCTTTATCACGAATGTTTATGTTTAGTCTGGCAGCTGGTCGTCTGATCAGTTTAAACAGCTGAGAGAACAAATACATAACATTAAGCTCGTTAAGGGCAGTTCAGATCTTAAGTTTTCCTACTCTGAGAAATTTGAAATTATTTTGACTGTTTGGAGGAAAATTTAGGGTACGGGTTACTTATCACAGGAGGAGTCTTCCCCTTTAAGGGGTTTTCGGGCGGATTCCTGTATAAACATATCAAGAAATGAACCACTTCAGCGAAATCTATGGAAAACTCGTCTTATTTAGTTCCTGGTCATTGCCCTGATAGAATCCTAAGCCCATTAAATGTAATTCGTACGACCTCGATTTCGTAGATTTCAGGTTGTTTCAGTGTTCATTTGGTAGAGGGAAGGTGTGCTTGCATAGGATTAGTATTTCCCGTTGTCACGATTTACATCGAATGATAAAGTATCTGTCTGAGCTGCAATGATTGAGGTAAGTATTCGTTTTAAACGCACATTTTATCAGAGTTTATGTCCGGCGCCGTTTCAAGTGGATCACGCAAATCGTTATCAGTTAAACTTCTGAAAAAAACTATTAAAAAAAAATCAAACAACATTTCTTATACTTACTGCAATTGAATCCCGTTTTGCATTTGCATGTGTAAGAGCCGTCTGTGTTATTGCAACTTGCATTATAGTGACAGCCATGGATGTGGCTGGTACACTCGTCCACATCTAAAAAGTTTGAAAATCCATCAATTTTTTTTCAGAAAACTTGACTGTGATAGATGTTAGTCGTAATTTGTTTTCTTCTTCAGATAAATCACTCTCAGCGCAAATGGCTAGACATTTTAGTCTTCTCGGATGAGGAAGAAAAAACCGTCCGCCCCTTCTACTGCATCGTTAAATAATTCATACACTTATTGCAGAGATTAGGGAACATAGCTGCTAGTGTTGTGGTATGGCCCTAATTCTTAAAATGAGGGTATCTGCAAAAATTTGTCGAGTTTACGCCCCAACTTTCCAAGTGTACTATTGTTTACAGTTTGAACTACCTGGCTAGCATTCCTAATAAACCCGATTTGCGATTGTATACGTGAAGTATACCCTTATAGCGGTACGCCCCTTAAGTATCCAGTCAGTTGGAGTTAAGAGATCGACGGAGATAGATCAGAGTTTCTTTTTACACAAGATTCTTCCAGTTAGGTAACGTTGCAGTTTCTCTAAGCCCGTAAAGACAGGATCAGAGGTAAGTCTCAGCTTATTGTATTTAGTTTCCTTTCTCTTCGACTTCATTTGTTTTGTTATCAGTCTCATCCCATTTTTTGATCTTGTACATTACAATTTCCCTTTTTTAGTTTTCACCGCATGTGTACCATAGTCAGACGACAGCATTAAACGTTGTTGAATCAACTTGTGTTGTCGATTCCTACACTGTGATACTCCCCGAACTCCAGTGCACAACACCCCGTGTCCGCTGCATTGGGTACGCGACAGCCTTAATTCTTAAAATGGGGGTATTCGCAAAAGTTTCCTTCAAAAATTGTAAACTGTTCAATGCAGTCTGGCCAAAGTGCCAAACAAGGCTTTGTAAAGCGCCATAAGCCATTGGATATGATGCTATGAAAATATTTCATTATTATTAATATGTCTCTATGAATATCTATGAATCTCACCTGTGCAATTCCGACCGTTCCCCTGATAACCTTCTGTACAGCTACACGTAAATGATCCCTCGGTATTATTACAAACAGCTTTGGCATGACAGTCATGAGAGTTGTCAATACATTCGTTTCTATCTAAACAAAGAAAACAATGAGGACTGATATGAGCTTATCCGCAAGCTGGATGAAGAACCTTCAGAACATTAAAAAAGAATATTAGTGAGACCTTTTTCACAGTTTTCTCCCGTGTAATTATCTGGACACAGGCAAATGTATCTCTTGTCGGTATATCCATTGAGACAGGTGGAATCATGGAGACAGGGAGTACTGGTGCACGAATTCTGATAGGATAGAAAACGCCTGTTAGCAGTTATACTTGACCAAAAACATCCAAGCTGATTTCAGACGATTGTATTGTAATGTAAAGTAAAATCCTACCTCAGAGGCCCAGAGAATAAAACCTTTTCGTATTTCTTTATCTTCACGATGTTGGGCGTGGTCAAAATTACTCAGTTGGCAGAGCCTGAAGCCTGTCTTGTTTGGTGGGCCGATGTTCACAGACAAACAGTTGCTCTCCATGAGGCACTCATATCTACAGTCATGAGTCATGAGCTCCTTCCCCATTGGCAAGTAAATTTCTTTAAATACATAACGTTGAGGAGCACGTTCTCCTTCTGATCTCTTAAACCTAAGACTTCGGCAGCCAAAATCTGGAGGCATTGGATTCATAAGAAAAAATGTCATCAGAATTTCAGCTCGAGAAATACTTATACTCTGATCAGAAACGTGAATACCACTGCTAGGGAGATACACAACAGATATTACAGAATTTATTATTGCACCTTAAAAACACTTTGGGTCAGCACAAAAAAAAGATAAATAAAAAATAAAAATAAAATGAAAATAATAAAAAAAGAAAATCAACAACGCTACTATTTTCAGTCCGTTAGTTAATGGAACACACACACACACAAAAACGCTTTAAAGTGACTCCACTGATAACAGAATAAATAACGGAAAAAAATGTTACCGTTAGATCTTCATCGCAGCCTTTTGCATTAAAAGGACTTTTGGTATTAAGGTAGTTCGTAAAAGATAGCTAAAAAATAAATCAATAAGGTTTCAAACTTATCGCTCCGCGTAATATCTGATGCAAGAGATCATTTTACCATAAAATTGCTTTAAAAGGAAAATTTTCAGGTTTTAATATGAATCTTCAGTTTCTTAAAAATAAAGTGTTTTTTTATTACGAGGTAGTTTTCACACTTCAACTGTGTGTTCCATCGGTAGACAATATCAGATTTTTTACTTGCAATCTTAACAGCTTTAAACTTATTTGAAAACTATGGTTGGCTTATGTCGCCTTATACATAAAATATATAAAAATATGTTCAGCCTGAATTATAAAACTCTATGTTATTTTAGTTAAGGGAAGAAACCACCTGTTTTGGTGTTGTTGAGCAAGCAGAATATCTGATGTTTGTCTTTGTTAATGCCTAGCTGCTTCTTAAATGGTCGACTAAAAACTCTTTCCTCTTCCTCGTTGCAAATCGTTGTTCCTCTTAAATTTCGTTTACATACATCATCTTTTAGTCTCAAGACCTATCGTGCAGAAAAACTGATATTTAAAGGAACGAAATGCAGTTTGGGAAAGCGTCGTGGTGTAGGGCATGCCATCATGAAGGTTTTCTTAAGTACGAGGACTCAGCCAGTGCGCTTCGCACGCTGCAGCTGAAGAGCGACTAGCAATGAAAGATATGTGCTACGCGTGAAACAAAAAACTGATTAGAAAATAATTTCTGCCTTCCCGTCGATTTTTAGCCGAAAGTTTACTGAGAAAAATTTTGGTTAATTTTTTTAACTGAAAAAAATATAGATTGGCAAGTTTTTCTCGTCATTTCAACTCAAAAGTCAACAACAATTTTCCATTAATTAAAAACTTATTGATCATAGAAATAACGTCGACAATGTTTAACCTTATGCCAGCATAGGTGTCAAAGTGAGACAGCATTTAATTACGTAAAATAAGTAAATAAGTTAAGTAAATAAGTTAAGTAAATACTCTCTGAAATTTTGAACCTATAGTTGGTTTATTCCTTATAAAATTTTTTAAAAGGTACTTTCATCAAGCGAAAACTATCATTTTTAAATTTTTTATTCTCTAAGAAAGGTTTTTTTTTGAACCTAACTGTGTCTTTAAAATCAAGGGAGATTATTTTCGTTTCTGTGATCTCTGATGCAAGATTGGCTCCTACTTATTGGGTGACTAAAACTTTTTTTCTTGCAAATTTTTTTCCTCTCAAAAATTGGTTTCATTTGCATCTGTCTATTCAAGGACCGAGATATTCTTGCACTTTTCCACTTGGGTGGGCGAGAAAGTTTTAGTTCAAGATGAAGCCACTTTTGGCAAGTAATTAATTTATACTTTTCATGAAACTTTTGTCAATTGCGATTAAAAACTCCAAATTTTTAAAATTTTCTGAAAAATCTTCATGTCAATTAATTTTAAAAGAAAAGTAATATTTTCCAAACCATTTCTAGAAATCTTTTATCAAAAACTACGAAATCAAGTGTTAAAAATCCATATCGCCGCGCGATAAATTAATGTTGCTTCGCCTGTAAATCGACGGGAAAGCAGGAAGTATTTTCTATTCAGTTTTTTCTTTCACGCGTAGCACATAGATTTGATTGTTAGTGGCTCTTTAAACTGTAGCATAACTTCCTTTTTATTTACTTCTCCAAAATGTGTAATCGAGCGATAAGGTAGAAAAAGGGTTTAAAAACTCTCAAACTTTCATCCTCTGTATCAACTTAGTCTAACATAGTCGTGAAAGCCAACGAATTGACGGATGTGTGATCATGAAGGTTTTCTTGAATACAAAGCCAATTGAAAAGCATACTATAAAGAATAACACTGGACCATAATTTTAAGAACTTTCTCTCGCTTAATTAATAATTCCTGTTAGGGACATCTGATATCGCTCCAAAATTTGCGTTAGTCAATACTTGATGCTGCTTCAATTTTTCCGTCTATTAGAAATTTTTTGCTGCTAAACCTACAGAGAGTATATATTATAGCTTTCTGAAGCTGGCAAAGCGCTTCAAAGCTGATATAAAATGAAAGTCAGTGTTAATGACAAAGATGGATAAAAAAAACTTTACCCCGAAAACGGTGACGTGTACAAGTTTGTTTCGCGAAAGACACATAGAGCTTATCAGGTATTTTAACGTAAATTATAAGTTCAACTTGGTACTTTCTACTGATATAATTAGTTAGAAGTCAATGAAACAAATAACTTTGAAAAAGATGCAGAAATATGCTTTTCACAAGTATTACATTTCTAGCTTTTTTCGAAGAAATAACGGACTGGAATTCTAAACAAAAGAGGGATGAGCTAAGGAAAACAGTTAAATATCAAAGACTTACCTTTGTTTCCATCCGCAGGGCAGTGAAGCCATCCTCCCCACAGAACTGTTATGGACAGTAAAGATAGAGATAGTTTGGTGGGAATCTTCATCCTTGAAGAAAATGCTTGTACATGTCTATCGTTTACAGTGAAGCTGGACACTCTACCGTCAAGCTTAAATGCTACTCGAAGTTGGCAGGTTGCGTAATTGTTTAAAAATTGTCCAATTTCGTAGCGATTGTCTCGTTTCTCAAGTTAATTTAAAAGCCTTTTAATATATTCCTTCCATTTCTTCTATGACAGGAATATAAAAATAGATTTAGAACTTCAGTTTTCTTTTTCATTTTCAACCATTCATAACTTTACAAGATCATTAGGTGTAATGTAAAATGTAAATTGGCCTCCGTAAACAGTTCCTAAAGTTGACGTTTCGAGCGTTGGCTTTAATCCTTTTTCATTCTGACGAAGGGCTAACGCTCGAAACGTCGGCTTAGAAACTCTTTACAGTAGCAAATTTACTCTATCAACTCAACTGATAAAACCGATCTTTTAATATCCCCTACCGACGAAGCACCACAGCCTGTTTATTTGTAAATGTAGGCTCATTAAGTCAAATCCTTTTGCAACGTTGACATTCGTTCATCTTTCATTGCTGAATAAAAGCGTCTTATCAGAGCAATATAATCCAATGCAATAAAATGTTGTCGATGACACAAGTTTATTACGAATATCGTCCTGAGGAGTGGCTAAAATAAAAAATACATTTATTTTTGTAACCTAAAAATTACTTGATTTGTGTTTGGGCAAGCAAAAAAAGAAAACTAAATTCTCCTTCTGTTAGTGACTTTACGAGGGTTCAAAAATATATCTTTGATATATTCATTATGTGGCAAATTGTTATCTTCCTGTCTGGCAGCTGGAGATCGTCAAATATGAAAACAGCAGGCTGCATTGAAGATGACCTGCGCAAAGCCACCCTTAGAATCATCTAGAAGATTATTTAAAGCATCATTTGATTTGAAATATCATATTTTTGTCGTCTTCTCTGGAACCTCTTCGATTTCGATTTTACTCTTTGCTCCATTATTGTTAATAGGCACCAAAATTTTCGTCGATAGGTTTTTATTCTAACAAAAAAGTACCCGTTGTTGTGCTATTTGTTTTTTTTAACTGCATCGATATTTATGCTTTCGACATAGTTCATAATCCTTTTTTCTTCCTGATCTTTTAATTTATCCTGTCCCTCAATCTCCCCGCTTTCTAATGAATTTTCAGAATTTTTCCCTAGAGCGTCCAAATGTTTGCCGCATGCATCGCAGCTTTAATGAAAATTTGCACGCAGGCTACGCAACCACGCTAAACGATGAAATGTAGTGTCCATGTCATCTCCTAGAACTTCCTGACAACCTCAAAAAGAAAAATGATAATAATCACATAAAAAATAAGTAAAGAGATAAAAATCGAAAAAAAAAATGTTGATGAAGCGATAAATTGATGAAATATAAAGACGATGATCGGGAATTTTTATTTCATGAAACTAACGCGTATCGAGAATTCTATTAACTAATTCTTCAGCTGATTTCGGAACTCTCATGTTAAATACGAATAACAAGCTTAACGAACGCTTAACACTTTACATCCTAAGATCAGAATGAATAATCTCCATACTTTCCCTTTATATTTCCACTGCTGCTGATAAGGAGACTGTTTGACAAACAAAGCTTCCTGGCTTGGTGATCATTTCCTTTATTCTCATGATCTTAGTGAAGAATTCCATTTTATTATTGCAGGGAGAAATTAGATTCTGGTCACTCTTGGAGGTTAAAGGATTAAGGAGAGTCTATGAATTTTGGCTGAGGAGGTTTTCAAGTCTCGTACCCAGACCTTCAATGGCCAATCGGTTTTAACCGTCAGTTATATGGTAGGATCTGGGTAAGAGATTAGGGGTTCTCAAACACGGTTTTCTTTTGTTACACTAGAGCTTAAATAAGCTAAGAACCATTTCAATATATATGAATCTTTGATATTTCCATTTGAGTAGTAACTTGCCCTCTGTTTTTGGAAGAATTTAAGATAAGACATGAAGTTGAAGGAAGAGGTGGGCTGAGAGCCGCGCCACCGGATCCTCCTCCTGATCACGGTGGTATTTTGAAGCCCGTCTGTTTACGTGATGCAGCACAGGGACAAAAAAGGGAGAAGTGTTCCCTGACGGTTTTAATGGGGTAACTGTTGGCTGTAAAACGGCCAAAAATTTAGCCGTAAGCTGCAAGAGAAAAGTTAAACGTGAGG